GACCGCCAGGCAGGCGGAGGAGAAGCGAGGGCCGCCAGGCAGCGGCGGAGGAGGAGGTGTTGCGTGTTCAAGAAGAGAGGCCAGAATGAATCTCAATGGAGAGACAGAGCTTATATACACAGCAGCCGTGAGTCACCCGTGGGAAACCGCCGGTCTTTTGACTCCGTTGCTAGGATACTGTGGCATCTGGTGACGCCCCCCCCCCTGGGCCGCTCGTTTGGTTGCTAGGGAAGACATAGCAGGTGGCATGCGGCTACGCAGTTGTAGGGGAGACGTCCACTACAATACTCCCCCTTCCCTCCAGGCGGTGTAGGAGACTTGTTGTCTGTAGAGTTGCTTAGCACATGTGAGGCAGAACGGGCGGTGCATGCCTCATGTGAGACAACGGCGATGGCGTGGATGAGCCGGTCGCTGGATACAACTGTCTATATACACACTATCTGTGGGAGGAGAGAGGGAGAAAAAGGGTGTGTGGAGGCGATGAATGTTGTGCTTCCCTCATGACAGGTACAGAGTCGTCAGATGCGCCTGCTGGGGTGTGTGGGCCTGGGTCAGGAGCAGGGGCTGCGTCAGCAGAAGCGGATGAGGGCTCGTGACAGCAGCTGGGTCCACGACAGCAGCAGGGTGCAGGACATTAGCAGGGAGTACCTGAGGGAGAAAAGAGGGGTGTGGGTCCGCACTCAGGGAACAGAGGTCAAGTCAGGGGCGGCAGGGGTTACTGCTGGGCCGGGGTCGGCGTCTGAGGCAGGACGGGTGTGCTGGGGTCAGAAGAGGAGCTGGTGTCTGCTTAGAGTAGCAGAGTTGCTTCTGTGTGGATAAGCCAGTCTTCTATGCGCTTGAAGACTGGGAGCGTGATCAGTTTCTCCTCCATCCTGTGTGAGTGCGAATCTCCAGGAGTCACCATTTGTAGGGTTTCGTGATAAGCCAGTCTTCTATGCTGCTTGAAGACTGGGAGCGTGATCAGTTTCTCCTCCATCCTGTGTGAGTGCGAATCTCCGGGAGTCACCATTTGTAGGGTTTCGTGATAAGCCAGTCTTCTATGCTGCTTGAAGACTGGGAGCGTGATCAGTTTCTCCTCCATCCTGTGTGAGTGCGAATCTCCGGGAGTCACCATTTGTAGGGTTTCGTGATATAATGTTGTCTAGCACTCAGGATGGAGGAAACTCTAAGGTGGTTTTCTTATATAATATAAGTTATATGGTAGACAGTCTGGTGCTGGAGGTGCCGTGTGGTGAGGAGCTGCTCAGTAGACACGTTCGGTGAGTAGTAGGGTGTGTCAATTTAGGGGGTGAGCTGGCTAAATTGAAAATCGA